GATATTCCTGACCAAACTCATTAAATCCCCCTCCCTCATTCCCAATCCTGCCGCATATTCTCGTGATCCCTGTCTTGAAGCATGGCCCTCGATCCCCAGCTGCCTGAGGGAAGGTCTCTTTCCTGACCCTCAACTCCAGGTCTAGAGCAGCTGCCAAGTCCTGCTTCTTCAGCCTCCAAGACATCTCTCAAATGTACCCTTTCCTCTGCATTCCACTGCTGCCATCGTTTAGATTGGGGAGGAGTGAGGGGGGGTGTCACAAAATCAAATTGTCAGATCTTCTCATTTTTCAAAAGAGTTTAGACATCAGGGTGATTCTGACGTGAAACCTCCCAATTCATAAATGATGATTTCAAAATACTGTGTAGGCCGGATGAAACATCTGCAGCCACTTTTGGTCCACGAGCTCTTCTTGGTTTCCAGGCTCCAGTTTCAAACGTCACCTTTTGTCTAGACTGGCAGTAGTCTCACTCACCCTGCCCCTTCTGGTCCAGCCGCCTCACTGCCCCTGGCCTTTTCTTTCCGCATTACAGATCTGATCACATAAGAGCTCTGTCTGAGGAGGTCTTTGCTGTCTCCAGAACAGAATGCACATCCCTCGATGCTGCCTTTGAGATCCTTCTTTGTCTGACTTGACCCGTCTCCAGCTGTGTCTCCTGCTACCCTGTGCACACCCTGGCTGTGATCTTGTTACACGCAACTATTTGCTGTCCCCTGAGCAGTCCCAATATTTTTCTTTTACTTAACGGGTTTTTTTAGAACAATTTTGGATTTATAGAAAAAGTGAGTACAAAGAGTTTCCATGTTATTCCTCTCTTCCCCAACCCCTCTCCCCAGTTGGCTGTTATTAATAGCGTGCATTAGAGTGGTATGTTTGTTACAATTAATGAACCCATATTGACACATTATTATTAACTAAAGTCCATAGTTTACCTTAAGGTTCATTTTTTTGTTGTTGGCAATACCAATGTTTTAATACTCTTTAACACTTTTTAATAATCACTTTCCTCTGCTTGCATATTCTTTCCCCAGTTCTGGCAAGATTCTTTTCAAGGCCAAATATGAATCTCATATTTGCAAATATGATATTCCTGCAAAGCCATCTCTGTTTATTTTTGGAATGGGGGCTGGAAGGGAGGGAGGAGACAGAAAACTAGCATTTTGATCAGGTGCCGAGCGTGTGCCAAGTACTCTACATATATATTCTTTAAAATCTCTCTACAGTCCTGTCAGATAGGTATATATTATTATACTCTTTACTGCGAGGAAACCGAGGTGAACAAGTGGCCCAAAGCCCCACAGCTAGGAACTGGGTTTCCACCCAAGTCCTCCTGGCTCCGAAGGCTGTGCTCCTTGCCCCGCCCACAGGGCTTCATTCTTACTACTGATCCAGCCTCCCTGCCTTCCCCACTGGATTAGGAATCTACTAGGGTTAGGAATCCACTGAAGTGAGGAGTGCGTATTATTCAGCTCTATGTTTCCGCTCCTAACACGGGGTTGGCACCAACAGCAACTCACCAAACCCATGGGCACGTGTCTTAAAGGCAGAGTTAATACAGGAAGGGGCATCCAATATCGACATCAGTTCAGCAAATGCTTGTTGAATTCCTGCTCTGCACTGGATGTGGTGAAGGGTGAGGCCACGCATAAGAGCAAAGTGATGGCGATGCTATCGTGCAGGGTATAAATCCCAACCAGGCAGCATCTGGGAAATGATCGGTTTTCTGTTTATCTGCAGCTAGAATGTAAGCCGCAGGAAAGCAGGGGTTCTGTGTGTCCTCTGCTGCAGCCCTAGGACAGGGCCTGGTAATAATAGTTGTTTAATAAATACTTTCGGACTGAATGTTGGAATCCTGTTGAAAATTTGAGACACCTAAAGTGACACTAAACTTCTCAGAGTTCTCCTGTTCTCAGTTAGTCATCATCCTCAGGTCTGGCAGCTTCAGTTTCTCTGTGTTTGGTTTGATACAGTCCTGTATTATAGGCTGTTTCCAAGTTATCCCAGGCCTGGGCTTGACCACACTCTTTGCCCAGAAGTTCCTCTGTACCAGAACTTTAGGAAAGGACGGGAGGAGGATGAGCTGCCTCACCCCTGCTGTCCTTTCAGAGCTGATGGACAAATGATCCTTCCTGGGAGCTGCCTGGAGCTCCCGGATCTGACCTTGGACCAGAGTTCCAGGGGCCTGGCCTCACTTCTGGACTGAATGCAAAGGATGGCCTCATTTTTCTTGAGAGAATTAAACCCAGCACTCTTTTTTTTTGGCCACCCCGCAGGGCTTGTGGGATCTTAGTTCCCCGACCAGGGATTGAACCTGTGCCCCCTGCAGTGGAAGCACAGAGTCTCATCCACTGGACTGCCAGGGAAGTCCCAAACCCAGCACTCTTAATGCCATATGAGGGTAATCATATTTTCAAATATTTTCATTAATTATCTTGAAGGAAAAAGTTATCTCAAACATAGTAACCTGGGGCTTCCCTGGTGGCACAGTGGTTAAGAATCCGCCTGCCAACGCAGGGGACACAGGTTTGAGCCCTGGTTCGGGAGGATCCCACATGCTGCGGAGCAACTGGGCCCGTGTGCCACAACTACGGAGCCTGCGCTCTAGAGCCCACGAGCCACAACTACTGAGCCCGCGTGCCTAGAGCCCACGCTCTACAACAAGAGAAGCCACCGCAGTAAGAAGCCTGTGCACTGCGGCGAAGGGTGGCCCCCGCTCGCCACAACTAGAGAAAGCCCACTCGCAGCAACGAAGACCCAATGCAGCCAAAAATAAAATAAATAAAATAAATTTATAAAAAAAACAAAAAACAAAAAACATAGTAACCTGTTTCATACATTTGCTCATAAGCCTTTTTTCTCCTCTCCCCTCCCTCTGGCTTCTCTGCTCCTTCTCCTCCCCTGCCCCCTGTTTTGCTTGTCTTCTCTGACCCTGTCTTTAACTTGTATTGCTCTGTCTCTCCTACGTGCTTATTTCCACCGAGGTTCTTCTAAGCGTACCTCCCCCTCCATTTGTTCCATGTAAATAGATCGCTCTCCGTTCCTGGTGAATAACCAGGATCACAATTGTTGTCTGGTTTGTGCCCAAGGTGACAGAATTAATGGACTTGTAGGCCGATTTTCATAAACCAGAGCTACCAAGCGTTTCAAAAACAGCCTTGTTTTTGCCAAGTAAGGTGAGCAAATATAGGACTAAGTTTAAACATCCATCAGGAGTTATTTTTGAAGTGATTGCTTCTAAATGAGAGGCGTTTGAAAATCTCACGGCTTCCTTTACCAGTAGATTCCGAAGTCATGTATTTTGCTGGTGTCTGTGATTAATTACAATCCTGTGACACCATGAAAAGCCCTGGTGGTTGGTTTTGTGCAGCTGTGGAGAGAAGTAAAGCTAGGCCCAGTGGCTTTGCCAGCTCTTTCAGGATGCTGGGGATTCGGGCAGAGGGAGGTAGTCTTTTCACTCTGGCAGTCATCACATAAGAACAGAAGCCCCGGCCAGACTCATTGCTCCAGACTTCACGACGGGCGGTGTGAGTCCCTGTGGGGAGTGCGGTGAAGTAGTGATGGTTGATCGGTTGCTTCTGAAATAACAGATCAATTATTAGAGAAAGCATTTGCAGTCTCCACATGGGGACTTGTGTGCCTTCTCCTGTACAATTACTTCTATTTAGGAAGAAAAAAAAATTTTAATAGCAGTTACCTAAAATAAGTAATCAAAATTTCCTTTGACTCTCTAAACCGCAGGTGCTCAGCATATAGCAGATCTCTGACCCGGGAAAACCTGCCAGCTCATACCCATTTAGAGTCTGATGACTCTGGATCTCTTATCTTGGCCTCTTGGTTTTCCTCATTGCTTCCTTCTGTATTTAACTCTCAAGTCCCTCACTGACAGGAAAGAGAGAAGAAAAAGTTGAATCTTGTTACTTAGGTAGAATCATGTGCCGCTCTGGAAAAGGATACAATAGGGAAAGAAAACAAACTGATTATTAAAATAGACTTTCCAAGTTCTTGATGTGTTTATCTGTGCTTGCTTTGCTCCACCCTCCTCCTCCCCTTGATAAGGGCACTGAAGGATTTCTCTGACATGTCTTTTCCCTTGACACTGGCTAAGGTCAGTGGATCCCATTTACGCCCTTGTCCACTTTCGTTCTCTGCTGCAGGTTTGTACTTCTCACAAAGGCCTTGTTGATGTCATCACTGAGTGAACCCAAGATACACTTACGTGCACGTGGCAGTGCGGGCGTGTGCGCGTGCGCACGCGCACACACACACACACACACACACACACACACACACACGGCCTATGGCACGTGCTTGCTGGAATTGTGGCCTTCGTTCTAAATATAGGCAGCTGGAGAGATACAACAGGATTTGTCTTTCTCTGCTTAATTCTGATATATAATGTCATGCAAGAATAAGAAAGTGAGGTGTGTCTGCAGTGCTCCCTCGGCTCCTGACATCTCAGGGAAGATCTAAAAAACCTAAATAGTTTACAGACATCACTGTCCACTGTTTGCGAAGGCAAGCATCATTGCGGCCTGCTTCTTTAGCCAAGCATGTTGTGATAAACCCCAAGCCAGATTAGACTCACAGACATTTGATTTTTCCTATGTAGTAAGATTTTGACTTTAAAAAGTACTTTTTTTTTCCATATGAGACTGCTAAGAGAAAGATGTTTGCATTTCTTTGCTAAAATCAATTAATAGGTTGTTTGTAACTAATAAGCTCTTGGCATCTAATGACTTGTCACAGAGTAATCTTCATTTTTTGGACTTGTGCGAGGAACCTAGAGCACAGGTACAGATGAAAGACGTTGGTTTTTCGCCACCTGCTGCGTCCTCCAAGACCAACATGATTTTTCTGCAAAGAGACCAGAGCCACGTTTTGCAGGTGTCTGTTTTCTTTGAGGGGAATGTTTTAAGGAAACCTAAAAGGGAGGAACTGGACATTTAGGAAAAATATATTTTCACAGCAGGATATTGCTTTTTCTCTTTTTTTGGTTTAGGTTTTTCATTTGTTACAAGCCTTCTCAGACTCCAAATACAGAATGAATACATACTTTCAGCAGGAGCTGGCTGACGTCGCTGTTTGTACTAAAGCCAAAATCTGGCTGGCCAAGAGGTATGTTAAAGCCCCACATGAGCATGGAGTTATCAGGGGTTAGGAATACATTGGAGAAATGCTGTTTCTAGTTGTGGGAGTTTTGTTTTGTTTTGTTTTTTGCACTATGTGGGCCTCTCACTGTTGTGGCCTCTCCCGTTGCGGAGCACAGGCTCCGGACACACAGGCTCAGCGGCCATGGTTCACGGGTCCAGCAGCTCCGTGGCATGTGGGATCCTCCCGGACCGGGGCACGAGCCCGTGTCCCCTGCATCGGCAGGCGGACTCTCAACCACTGCGCCACCAGGGAAGCCCAAGAGTATTTATCTTTTTTGAACTTTGGGTTGTGGTAAAGAAAGAAAAATATTTTCTTGACAATTTTTCTAAAACTGCTGTGTGGCTGGGGGGCATGTAATATGGCTTTTTATCTGTCCACCAATCAGCTTGTTTTTATGAATACCTGCTATGTGCCCAGCCCTGTGTTAGATATCCTAACAATGAAAGGCAGTAATTGACTAAATCATGTGGTACAAACTATCAGGTACCGTTGCAGCTCAGAGATGAGAGATTGATGTTAGGCTGGAGCAGCTGCAGAGGGGCCCAGAGCAGGTGAATAAGAAAAAGACATGCACATTGCCTTTTCGGGTAGGTAGTGAGAAGATTGAATAAGCAAGGCAAAGGAGAGTGGATACGTATTTTTTTCTTTTTTTCATCCTTGCCATCGTTAGTTTTTTCTGAAACTTAGAACATTTACCGTGTGAAAGATGGAGCAAAAAGAATTTCTCAATTTCTCTCGAATACACAAGGAGTCCTCTCTGTAACACTCTGTTCAAAATCTGTGTTACTGCAAGGGCCTCCCACCCACTGCTACATCCTCTGTGATTCCGGGAGAAGGGGGGTCCAGCAGAGGCCCATAGGCTACCACATTCCATGCTGTGGCATATTGCCTTTGATTAATAATTAGTATATTGGTTGTCTAACATAACAGCCTCTTTTTTATTTTTCAAAAAATGTGCTTTTGTTCACTTTTGTTGGTCTCCCATCTTATATGGCAAGACAAGCAATGGTTAGTGTGAGACCCACAAATCAGTGTAATTCAACAAAGTCTTGTGAGCGAGCATAGGCTACACGATAGCCACTGTGTTAGGAGATGTAGGGATGCAAAGGTATAGAAAGAATTAGTCCTGACTTCAAAGAGCTCCCATCCAGGAGGTGAGAAGATGTGTAAATAAATAATTTTTATCGAATATGGTGAGTGTGATAACAAATGTATGTAGTAGGTACAGGAGTAGCCCGGCGTTTGGAGGGTGGATGCCTTCAACAGTTGGGAATTTTACCAAGTGGCCAGGGTAGGGCGGGGTGTTCCAGGCTCAGGGAATGTCATAGGCAAAAACATAGCACTATGAAATGACATGGTGAGTGTGGAAAACTAGAAAGAAGTTAGCTCTTCTGAAACCTAAAGTATAAGGTATGTGTAGCAGAGAATGGGGCTGAGGAGATACATGGAGGCCGCTTGGTGAAAGGAAAGCAACCCAGTGAAGAATTTCTCAGTGGGTAAAGATGTGAGTCTCCATGTTTGTCTAACCACCTGTATCTTTGGCCAGAGATATTGATGGGGAAATTCTGTAGTATCTGAAATGCCAGTAAAGTGATGGTTGATGGTTAGCCTCTCATTTTTAGTACGATTTTTGTTTTCTCTCTTTTGTTTAGAGAACAGGAGTTCATTGACCATAAACTGCTCCCCTGAGCCTAGTATCATTTGGCTTCTGTGTGGCTTTTAGAGAACTTCCCAAGATGCCTTTTTTGAGAGAACAAAGAATTGTGATCATATTTGCACTCTCATCTGTTTACCAATTAGTAGGCCTGGTCCTCGTAGCTATTATTTCTGGGGATCAGGAAGTCAGGGAAACGATCCTATTGAAACCCCTGCTTCCAGCCAGGACTGCCCCCAAGACAGAATCTGAATCTCCTGTTCTTAAAGTTCTATAAGGAAGGAATTTCTGCCCCCTTAGCTTGCTACCCCTTGATGGGTCTTATAGAAATTCATCATCGTTGGCTTCCTGAGTCAATTCCTGCTTGTTGGCTGGGAAGGAGGAGATAGAGTAATAGGCCAGCCATCTGAGTGGGCCTTCATGTTGTGCAGTTCCCTGTGATGGATGACAAAGCTACCATCAGCCCCCTCTTCAGCTGGAGAAGTCCTCCTGGCCTTCTAATTGCACTTAGAAAATTGCAGTTTTCTAATCAGTCTTTTCATTATTGTCTGCATCCACCCTTCCCCCCAATTCTCTGATTTTCCTCCATGATTCTCCAGCCCTAGAAAACAAAGGCATGAATCACTGAAATTCACTGGGTTTCCACCTTCTTTGCCCAGAGTCCAGGAAAGCCACTTTTATGTTTCCAGTACAGTCAACTCTTTATTATCCAAGTGTGAACTTTACACTCCGTGGGTGGTCTGTAGCACCAGGCTTCCTCTTGCTCCCCAGTTCACTTTTACCATATTAAGCAGGATGTGTTCAGAGCCTGGAATAGAGTTTGAAAGGAAAACACATGGCCAGAACACAATGTATCCCAAAGCCACGTGTCAGTTTTTCTGGATTATCCACGTCACTGGCAGGATAACTTTGAGTTTCCTGAATAGGAAGGTATAGAATCAGATATAAGTAATGAAGCCTCAGCCTGTTGCACGCCTGCCCTGCCCTTGAGGTCCTCAGAGAGTGTAGTCCCAGAAGGTGTTTGTCTGCACCGGGAGCCCCATGCTCAGATGAGCCACTTATGGGTCCTAGTGGGCCCTTCTCAAAGCCAACCCCTGACTTACATTCTCACGTTTTTTTCCCCTGAAGACCATTACAATGCAGAGCATTCCAAATTTGGCTGCTGAAGAGGCTCCTTTATGTCCATAGAAATTTACGAAAGAAAGAGGAATAAATGTTCTTTTGTGCCTACTAAGGATTTTCTGTGTCTTTTTAGTATAGCTTGAAATGTCAGTGTTATTGCAAAAAAAAAAAAGTCGGTTTAAATTTTAGCACTAACACCTTTTTCCTTCTTCAATTTATGTTGATCATTAGCTTGAGCTTATTCAGTCCAGTGTGTACAAAAACATTAGTGAGGATGTAATTTATTTATTCCCCAAAAAGGGGTTTAAAAAAAAAAGTACATTGGAGCCATTGGATGAACAGTTCCGTTTTTAAAATTTTAACCCCGAAATTGAGGGCATATAAAATAAAGACTTTTGTCATATATTTGTGTTTTGACTTTGCAAGATTAATAGGGATTTATATGAGGTGATTAAGCAATAGCCATGGATTTGTTGGGGAATTTTTGGTGATGAATGGCCAGCTGGCAACATGGCCTGAGTAGGGGACTGGGCTTCTGCTCTTACAGGCTGCTTTTCATTCCAAGATGTCAAAGCCTTTATGGAAATCAGCTGGTTAATCCTTCAAGTCCCTTCCTTCCCCTTTTTCCTCCATCCCTCTCTCCTCAATCCAGTTTACTGTCTCTCTCCTGGTGCAAAGGCAGTTTACCAACTACTGAAGGAGAACTAAGCTGACCCAGGTCAGAAACTGGTGGCCTGGCGAGGCTGGCTGTGGGAGAGGAGGTCAGTGCAGCCCCGCTCGAGGCCCTGTCTACTGCCCTTGCTATGTACAGATTCCAGCTCTTCTGTCCCAGCTGGATCACAGGCCCCGCCTGAATAGGAAGGACTTTTAAAAAGCCCTGTCAAGTAAGAGAAAGAGGAGAAAAGATTTATTTACTTTGATTGAGAGTTGGAATTACTGTTATTTGGGGCTTAAAAATTTTCAGAAATCAATTCAGTTATCTAGCGTCTCCTTTGGTTATAAAAAGAAAAACGTCTGTGTGTGTGTGTGTGTGTGTGTGTATGTGTGTGTCCTTTTAGTAAATGTGGTAAACTTAATGGACTGTCAGATTCCATGCAATGGATGATGTGATGACCAAGAAGAAAAATGTGTCCTACTGAATTTTTTTCACATTTTTTTCTTGACTGTCAGTGTAGTTTGTGCTCATCATAGGAAATTAGGAAAAAGAAGAGACTATAAGTCTACTCTTACCAACATCTAGTGGAACCCACTGTTATTGGTTAACAGTTTCATGTTATTTACTTCATCTTTCTTCCTATGCTTTTTTAATGGAGTTGAGATTATGCTGTATATGTGTAAGCTGTGGCTTACTTTTTCCATTTAACAGTATCGTGAAAGCGTTTGCTCTTATTGAAAACTCTTTATGGTGTAGCTGCTATGGAAAATAGTATGGTGTTTCCTCAAAAAAATTAAAAATAGAATTACCGTATGATCTAGCAATTCCACTTCTGGGTATAGACCCAAATTAATTGAAAGCAGAATCTTGAAGAGATATTTGTACATGTTCTAGTTGCATTATTCACAATAGCCAAGAAGTAGAAGTAACCCAAGTGTCCATTGATGGATGAATGGATAAACAAATGTGGTATATATGGACAATAGAATATTATTAAGCCTTAAAAATGAGGGAAATTCTAACACACAGTACCACATGGATGAACCTTGAGCACATTATGCAAAGTGAAATAAGCCAATGACAGAAAGACAAATGCTACATGATTGCACTTATGTGAGGTGCCTGGGGTAGTCAGATTCAAAGACTCAGAAAGTAGAATGGTGGTTACCAGGGGCTGGGGGAAGGGAAATAGTTAGTGTTCAACTAATAGAGTTTTAGTTTTACAGTATGAAAAGAGTTCTGGAAATTGGTGGTACACCCATGTGAATGTGCTTGACACTCCTAAACTGCACACTTAAAATGGTTAAGATGGTAAATTTTATATTATGCATATTTTATCACAATTTAAAAAATTTTTTAATAACAAACATTAAAAAAACTCTTTGTACTCTATCATTCCTCTAAGGTTATTGTCCTGCCTTCTTATAATAATTTTTTTCTTTTTTGCTTTGCTTTCTACTTTTACTGTCTACGCGTTGCCAAAAGTAAATTGCTTTTTGCCTGGTTTTGTAATAAGAAAAATATCTTTGAAAA